CAGGGACACTGCTGGCCACACCAGTGAGCCTGGCTGACCTTCCCCATGTCTGAGTTTTCAAAGCACAGAGGGCTGCCAGCGGTGGTCCTTGTCTCCAGGCATACATCAGAATCCCTGCTGGGGCTTCTTCTGGGCTCAGTGGCCTGGTCGGAGGTGCAGGTCAGTAGGCCTGCAGGGGGCTGTGGCATCTAGACATCCCAGTGGCTTCAGATGAATTCCTGATGTACAGTGGAGGTTGAGAGCCACTGGCCCAGAGGCACTGAAGACAAACTTTTGGCTTAGGTGTGGACTTGCATCGATACGCATTCACATGTGTGTGCATCTTTTTAGATTCTGAGACCTGGGATCAGGGTGTGGGCTTTTTGTAGTCTCAGAAACTGATATGCCCCTTAAACATAACAGAGATGGCCTTTTTATAATGGTGATGAGGTTGGCAATGCAAGAAAAAGAAATAGGCGCCCTGTTTAGGTCTTCTTGTAGCTGAGCCTTCTTACCAACGGCTCCAGTTAGTCCACGGCCTTGCCTTTAAGTTCCATCTGACATCTTAGCGGGGTGGGGTGGCACCCCTAGAAGCTAAGTTAACCAAGCTGTTTTCCTTTCCCTCAGGGCTTTTCAAAGGCCCCCCTTTTTTTTTTGGAGACGGAGTCTCTTTCTGTTGCCCAGGCTGGAGTGCAGTGGCATAGTCTCAGCTCACTGCAACCTTTGCCTCCCGGGTTCAAGTGATTCTCCTGCCTCAGCTTCCTGAGTAGCTGGGATTATAGACGCCCCCACAGCAGGCCCAGCTAATTTTTGTATTTTTAGTAGAGATGGGGTTTCATCATGTTGGCCAGCTGGTCTTGAACTCCTGACCTCAGGTGATCTGTCGGCCTCGGCCTCCCAAAGTGCTGGGACTACAGGTGTGAGCCACCTTGCCCGGCCAAACGCCTGTTCTTAATTTTATATTCAGATTGTACATTCATTTCTTAAGGAGGCCCCAAATTATGTAAGCTTCAGGGCCCGTGCAACGGAAGCTGCCTCTGCATCTCACCGTGATCGTCGTGATTGGGAAATGAACTCTTCACTCCTAGCTCCTGGTGTGCCAACTGCCAATCCAACCTCCTCCCTCTGTCCAGTCTCTAGTTCAGTGATGCTTTGGAAATTCTTGCTACTCCTGAGCTCCAATTGAATGCCCAACGGCCTACTAGTCACAGCCACCTGGATGTCCCATCAAGCGTGCAGCGTTGCATGTCCTAAGCTGCACTCATCCCTCATCTGTCACTCCCAGACCTCCTCTTCTCTCAGCGTCCACACTCTGGTGGATCCTGAAGCCTGGGAGTCATTCTGCATTTCCCTCCTTCTCTCTTGGCCTCCCGCTTCTGCCTACAGGTGATCAGTAACACACGCCTTCTCAACATCTTGGTTCTCCTTCTCCATCCTCAAGCCCTGCCAGGTGTGACCTGCCCTACCCTCATCATGTCCTGGTTTCTCAGTCTTGTCCTGGGTTTTTCCTATCCATCCTCCAAGCAGTTTCCAGAGGGTGCTTCTACAACAATGGAAATCTGACACTATACTCCTCAGCTTCAAACAGACCGCAGCCACCACTCCCTATAGAGGAGGCAGTCCTCTTCGCAGAGCCTTCAAGCCTCCAGGAGCCTGCGAGCCCCAACCTCCTCGCCAACTCCTCTCTTCTCACTTGGTGTTCCAGAATGAAGGGTGCTGTGTCCCCTACCCCTGTCACTGGGATTTCAGGCACACTGGCATCTCCTGCACGCCTCCCCACCCCATTCCTCCATCTGCAAAACTCTTTGCATCCTTGAAGACCCCACTCACTCTCTGCTTCCTCTGTGAGGACTTCTCTTCTCCTTATGCCTAGTTGACGACTGTCTTCTTGAATCATCCCCGACCCTCACACAGAGTCCTATTACACCACTCAGACACTGGCTCAATTATCACACATCTTGGAGGATAGGATTCATGTCTCATCTCAGTGCCCAGTGATGGGCTTGGCACCTAAGAGGTATGCAATAACTGTTCTGTTTTTGTTTTGTTTTTGTTTTTTTTTTTTGAGACGGAGTCTGGCTCTGTCACCCAGGCTGGAGTGCAATGGCATGATCTCGGCTCACTACAACCTCTGCCTCCCAGGTTCAAGTGATTCTCCTGCCTCAGCCTCCCCAGTAGCTGGGATTACAGGCATGTGCCACTACGGCTGGCTAATTTTGTATTTTTAGTAGAAATGGAGTTTCACCATTTTGGCCAGGCTGGTCTTAAACTCCTGACCTCAAGTGATCCGCCCACCTCGGGCTCCAAAAGCGCTGGGATTACAGGCATGAGCCACTGTGCCTGGCCGCAATAACTGTTTTTTTTAGCGAATGAATGAATGATGGCTCTGACAGCTTGGTAGTCTGTCCTTAAATTAGGAACGGGCTGGAAAATTCTGACTTTTTCCTCAAAGGCCACAGAAACCCAAGTGATTTTCAATAACAACCCAGTCTGGGTTAGAGCCAATGGCCTGGAAAACTATATTGACCTTTTAACATTTTTAATTCATGGCCCTGGATAAGTTCCATTCATTACTGTAAATTCTCTTATTCGATGCCTGATTTTTCATGCCTTTGGCTTCTTACTTTTCCTTATCTTGAAGCCTGTTCTAGCATATTACAATAATAGTTAGAATTGATTGAGTCCTAAATATGCAACCTTTCCTGTGTTTTACATACATCAAGTGCTAGCTCATCACCTCTTCACTCTTCATTAGAGCCTCAATTAGAGAAATAAAGAAAGCTTAAACATTTTAATAAATTGAGCCAACCAAGTATGAATGCTTATTAGCATGTCTTCTAAAAATCTTAGAGGGAGAAGAGATTTCAACCGCTGGATTTTAATGATCTCTGCTGTAGATCTCAATTATGCACGTCGGCCTTGGTCTTCCACCACTATGGGCAAGAGAGAGCTCAATGTATTGCAGCCAGAATTTTGTTAAAGGCTTTAGGGAGTATTCTTGGCTTTTGCAAGCAGCAAAAACAGTCAGGCAGGTTGAAAAGAGAAAAGTCAGGCCAGGTGTGGTGGCTCATACCTGTAATCCTAGCACTTTGGGAGACTAAGGAGGGCAGATCGCTTGAGGTCAGGAGTTTGAGACAGGCCTGGCCAACATGGTGAAACCCCATCTCTACTAAAAATACAAAAATCAGCCAGGCGTGGTGGCAGGTGCCTGTAATCCAGCTACTGGGGAGGCTGAGGCATGAGAATCGCTTGAACCCAGGAAGCAAAGGTTGCAGTGAGCCAAGAGCGTGCCACTGCACTCCAGCCTGGGAGACAGAGCGAGACTCTGTCTCAAACAAACAAACAAATGAAAAAAAAAAACAAAAAGAGAATGGTGGTTCTAAAAAGAAAGAGGGAAGAGAGAACTCAGGAAGAAAAGACACAGAAAATTAAAAAGGCCACGTGGGAAAAAGGCACAGGGAAAACAGGAAGAAAAATACAGGGAGGAAGAGGTATAGATCCCACAATTGAGGAAAACAAAGTCAGAAAAGGTAAGAACAGAGGATCCAGTTAATTTCTTGTTGCATTTAAATGGATAAGGAAAGGCTTTGGAGATAGCCGCAAAACACTCCCTCCACCCACTAAAGAGCCAGGTTCTTCCTGAGTTGTTCCCAGTCAGTAATTCCCCCACCATTTGCTCAGCATCTTGTCTTAGAACTTAACCACCTTACTGATCAATGGAGTGAAAATCCTCCCAACATGGGAACATTTTTTCTTCTATCAATTTAATAAAGAAGCTGGCCAAGGACAGATGTTAACTGGAGAGCCTACAATCCACTCAGATATGTAGTGTGGGTTTCAATCCTATTCGTGGATAAAACAGCTTGGAAAGCAATCTGGAATGACATAATGGCCCAATATTGCTTTCTCTCTGCTAAAGCAAGTGTGGTTTTCATAGGTTTTTAATATGTATTTCAGGGTTTGAACTGCATACCATCTCTCTGTTACTCTCCGCCAGGGGACCTGAATGACAGCACTCGCCTCTAAGATATTTTTCCATTATAATTTTCCAATTTGTTCAGGTCTGAAAAGTGTGTGTAAATGAAAACAGAGAAAATTCAAATGCTGTATCCCTTTCAAACATTCCATTTTGGGTTTACAAGGACTTTGCAAACCGTTCTCTGTTTCTCTCCCTCTTCAGCAAATAACCTTATTTTCTGATCACCTTTATTGAGCCAGAAAATATGTGCTGGATTTCCAGGAACCCTTCTCTCTCTTATTTTTCAGCTTTTTCTTTTGTTGTTTTGAGACAGAGTCTTGCTCTGTCAGCCAGGCTGGAGTGCAGCAGGGCAATCTCAGCTCACTACAACCTCCACCTCCCGGGCTCCAGTGATTCTCATGTCTCAGCCTCCCAAGTAGCTGGGATTATAGGCATCCACCACCGTGCCCAGCTAATTTTTGTATTTTTAGTAGAGACAGGGTTCTATCATGTTGGCCAGGCTGGTTAGAACTCCTGGTCTTAAGCCATCCGCCCGCCTCGGGCTCCCAAAGTGCTGGGATTGCAGGCGTGAGCCAGCGTGCCCAGCCTTTCAGCTCTTTTTGACCTGCAATCTCTTCTTTCAGCTCTCCCACCTGCCCTGATTCCTGTCCCAGAAACCTCTGGGAGAACTCAGACTGGCTTCAGGATTCAAGAGAAATGTTACATCATTTTCCCAAAGAACACAGCCCCACCCGAAATTAAGGAACACGACTGTCCCTCAAAAGTCTCTTTGCCTATAGGCTCTGGGGAGAACTGAGCCAGTTGTCTCACCTTAAGTAATTATAACAGCTTAGGTTTCCTCAGAGACAGGGAGAAAAAAATGAAAAACGATTTACCCGGGGAACTCAGATGGGATTGCTGTGGAGTAATTTGTATACACTAAAATTGGCAGGGGACTGGTGAGCCTTTAGGCTGCATGGCCTTAGCCAAGTAAAACAGACCTTTACGCCTGTTCCTCTCCGGATCTGAGAGGCGTTAAACCCACGCAGGAGACCGCCCTTACCTTTCTTGGCTTCACTTTATCATGGTAGTCATACTGGAAGATCCCTTTGTAGCTCAGGCCCAGCCACCATGGTATGCCCTGCTTGTCCTAGGATATCAAACAAAGTTCGGGTGAATATGGGGCTGGAGGAAGTAAACACACACTAAGTGGAGATTTCCTGGCTTGGGGGCAGACGAGGGAAAGTGCCATTTCCTGGGAAGGGATGGAGCCCACCTGTCTACTTTGTTTATTAACAGATGCGCCCATCATTGAAGGATGCTCTGTTATGTGAAGAGGGTGACATGGGGAATGTTGGGGCTGGGGGCCTGGTTCTGCTAATCAGCTGGACAGCTGAGGTCCTTTCCCTTTATATATAAGGAGTGAATGCCCTGCTCTCTCTCTTTCTCTCTCTCTCTCTTTTTTTTCCTTCTAAAAATTTAGGCATTCCATGCTGGGACACCCTCTCACCACAACTGAAAATCTGTGAGATGTCACACCTAATGAAAGGACCTTCTGGGCCGAGAAACTGTCATCGATGGTCAGAGCCAGAGGAGCCATGGAGACTGTGGAAAGTGACTCCTCTCCTTTTAACAACAAATCACAGCAAAGAGTTGGTCCAGCTTTACCCAGGACCTTCCCCAGCCCCGGGAAACACAGACCGGAAGGTGTCACCCTGAGGTCCTGCTCACCCAAGATGACAGCTGGGTGCCAGGCAGGGTTTCAGGACTCATGCTGTTGGACAGGGTAGCAAAACGGAAGCCAAAACCGTCTCAGGACTGAATTAGAAATACCAAGTCCGCTTATTGCTTTTTTTTTTTTTTTTTTTTTGAGATGGAGTCTCACTCTGTCAGCCAGGCTGGAGTGCACTGGCAAAATCTTGGCTCACTGCAACCTCTGCCTCCCAGGTTCACAGAATTCGCCCATCTCAGCCTTCCAAGTAGCTGGGATTACAGGCACGTGCCACCACGTCTGGCTAATTTTTGTATTTTTAGTAGAGATGGGGTTTCACCATGTTGGCCAGGCTGGTCTCAAACTCCTGACCTCAGGTGATCCACCCGTCTCGGCCTCCCAAAGTGCTGGGATTACAGGCATGAGTCACTGCACCTGCCCAGCCCCCCACCGTTTATTAACAGAGACCTCTTGTCACCTGAGTGTAAGTTGCAATTCTATATTCAAATAGGATGATTCTGAGTTAATTAGAGCCCTCAGAAGCTAGGATGTTATAATGAGCATATCAAGCAGCTTTTCCCTAGCTATGCCCTAATTGCCAAGTTTCTAAAAAACCTAATACACCCTCATGGTGGGTGTCTGGAAAACTTGAAACTGGCACATCATGGTTTTGAAATATTTGTGGGGCGTGAGTTATTTCAAGATGAGCAAAAAGATAAAAGGCAAAAGAGATACATTTTGAAATTTCTTTTCAAGCTTCAGGGTATATGATTTCTTAAAAACAAACTTTAAAGGTAGTATAAAATCCTCGTATTGAACCCCTGCCTCTGGGAAGTAGCTGTGCGCACTGCAACAGTTTCAGAGAACAGAACAAGAGGAAACTCAATGCCACTGCAACAGCAGATTGACCAGGTAAGAGCTGTCATCACACCATAAAACGGCATCAGTGAGATCACAAGGCCCCCGGACAGGGAGCCTGATGCAGCTGGGCCAGGCTTCCTGGATTCGTGCTCTTTTCCAAATAAGCAGCTAAGCCATTGCTTACGCTTTGAGGTTCTAAGTGGCAAACACCCATACTTCTTTGGCACTTTGAAAATCCCAAGTCTTTACCAAACTGAAATAAAGAGCACAGTTTTGAAGTTTTCTTGGAAGGCAGAAAGCATATATATCAGATACAGCCTTTCTGTTAAGTTCTAGGGCTGACAAAGAAATGGACCACAGGCTGAAACACATTGAAAGACCGCGTGAAGTTTCCTGTATTGGAAATCGTCTTTCCCCAGCATGCAATCTTCCTGACCAAGTCCTCTGAGACCTCCATTCCCACCAGCAGTTATAAAGAAAAAAATAATGAGGGCCGGGCGTGGTGGCTCACGCCTGTAATCTCAGCACTTTGGGAGGCCGAGGCAGGTAGATCACCTGAGGTCAGGAGTTCAAGACCAGCCTGGTCAACATGGTGAAACCCCGTCTCTACTAAATATACAAAAATGAAATGGGTTTGGTGATGCATGCCTGTAATCCCAGCTACTCGAGAGGCTGAGGTAGGAGAATCGCTTGAACCCGGAAGGTGGAGGTTGCAGTGAGCCGAGATCGCGCCACTACACTCCAGCCTGGGCGACAGAGGGAGACCCCATCTCAAAAAGAAAAAAAAAAAAAAGAAAAGAAAAGAAAAAGAAAAAAACATATAATGAGAAGTTTTGATTTGTTTGTTTAGGGGAAGTTTGGCAACCTTCACCAAATGAGTGCACTCACCTTCACTGCGTAATAGTGAACTCCGTATGTTGGGAGAGACTCCACGATGCTCATGTAGCTGGAACGACAATATGAAGATACATAAACACACACACTCAATGCACACAAGGCTAGTTATTCAGCAGATCTGGTATCTCATATATATATTTGTGTATGTGTATGTGATAAAGTTCTCGGAGTGATTATTTACTTGAAAATTAAATTGCAACATACACCCCCTACTCTCAGATATGTCTTTGGAGAGGAACTGAACAATTCTGACATACGATATATTAACACACACAAACACCGTCCCCACGCAAGCTGGGAAGGGGCCACTTACTTCACGATTGCTTGACCTCTTGTCTGACCGTTCAGTTTCTTGTAGTGCTCAATAACTCTGTCTTCACTGCAATTAGAAGAAAAGAATGCTGTTATCAGAGTCCCTAAGTCAACAGCCAAGCTTCCTGCCAGTAAGATATTCCTCAGCCCCATCTCCTAAGAAGCTCCAGGACACCAACAGCTCCTGGAAAAATGATTTGTCCTGGAGTGGCATTTCCAAACTCAGTCTGAGTGCTATCTATTTGGATGTAGATTTACTTAAAAAATAGTCTGTTTTCCCCTCAAAGGACTTACATTCTCTTTGTTTTGGATTTTTTTTTGTTTTGTTTTTGAGACGGAGTCTCGCTCTGTCACCCAGGCTAGAGTGCAATAGCGCGATCTTGGTTCACTGCAACCTCCACCTCCCGAGTTCAAGTGATTCTCGTGCCTCAGCCTCCTGAGTAAATGGGACTACAGATGCGTGCCACCATGCCTGACTGATTTTTGTATTTTTAGTAGAGACAGGGTTTCATCATGTTGGCCAGGCTGGTCTCAAACTCCTGACCTCAAGTGATCCACCCACCTTGGCCTCCCAATGTGCTGGGATTACAGGCATGAGCCACCATGACTGGCTTATCTTGGATTTCTAATCAAGAAATATAAGATTGGAGCTCAGGCTGGGTGCAGTGTGTCACCCCTGTAATCCCAATGTTTAGGGAGGCTAAGGTGGGTGGATCGCTTAAGCCCAGGAGTTTGAGACCAGCCTGGGCAATGCAGTGAGACCTTGTCTCTGCATAAAAATACAAAAATGAGCCAGGCATGGTGGAGTGTGCCTGTAGTCCCAGCTAGTTGGGAGGCTGAGGTGGGAGGATTGCTTGAGCCCAGGAGGTCAAGGTTGCAGTGAGCTAAGATTGCACCACTGCATTCCAGCCTGGGTGACAGAGTGAGACCCTGGCTCAAAAACAAAAAACAAAGGAACAAAAAGACTGGAGCCCAGGTTTTGGGATCAGCTCCTTGGAAGCAATGGTACCAAGAGAATAAGAGGAAGCAGACAGCAGAGATGACGCGTGGATGCCCAGGCTGAACTCTCTGGGGTCCTTCTTATCCTCATCTTCCCAGTCCTGTCCACACAGGGCCTCATGGGGGGATGGCAGGCATTGACCTTAACCACACGCCCACAGTCTACCTGCTCTGAATGCGTAGTCAGGGATGGAAGGCTTTCCAGGAGGATGGAACGTTCTGGAATTTGGGCCTGGTTAATATGAACCATGAGGCAACAAAAGCTCCATAGGAACACTTGGAGAACAACAGCAAACCAGCTACCAGAATTAGACAGGCGCTCCCTCCCTTTTTGAAATCTTAGTGCTTTTTTTGTTTTTGAGACGCAGTCTCCCTTGTCACCCAGACTGGAGTGTTGTGGTGTGATCTTGGCTCACTGCAACCTCCGCCTCCCAGTTTCAAGCAATCCTTGTGCCTCAGCCTCCTGAGCAGCTGGGATTGCAGGTGTGTGTCACCACACCTCGCTAATTTTTGTATTTTTAGTAGAGATGGGGTTTTGCATGTTGGCCAGGCTGGTCTCAAACTCCGGGCCTCAGGTCATCTGCCCACCCCTGCCTCCCCAAGTGCTGGGATTATAGGCATGAGCCGCCGCGCTCAGATGAAATCCTAGTTCTGATATAGCAAGAGGTTAGGTGGCTCCTTGGTGGCAGTGGCAAGCTCGCCCCCTGAGAAGTGACTCTGATGCCCATGGGGTAGGAGATACGGCTGCTCCAACCCCTGCCTTCAGATGGGCGGAGCCAACCTTGGGAATCCCAGGGAAGCAGGTGCAGGCAGAAAGCCCCACCCCCACCTGCTGAGGTGTGGAGTCCAGACACCTCCGCCTCCCTGGTCTGGCCCCAGAGCTTTGGAACCTCAGTTCTCACTCTCCTGTCTTACTTCTCTTCACCCTTCCTGTCCTCCGTCAAAGCTCCGTGAGGGGAGGTGATTCCAGGGGTTTACCCTTGAGATCTCAATAGAGGATCTTTATTATCTATTATTATTGTTTTCGAGACAGGGTTTCGCTCTCTTGCCCAGGCTAGAGTGCAGTGGCATGATCCTGACTCACTGCAAACTCCATCTCCTGGGTTCAAGTAATTCTCCTGCCTCAGTCTCCTGAGTAGCTGGGATTACAGGTGTGCACCACCACGTCCGGCTAATTTTTGTATTTTTAGTAGAGATGAGGTTTCACCACATTGGCCGGACTGGTCTCAAACTCCTGACCATCTGCCCACCTCGGTCTCCCGAAGTGCTAGGATTACAGGTGTGAGCCACTACACGCAGCCCTATTATCTATTATTCATCACCCCAGGATCTACCTAAAGCCTTCTTTTACCCACCTTTTTCTGTTTGCATGTTTAGCACGGCCAGTGTTGCGGGGTAACAGGTTCTACACATTCGTCACCTAGTCTTTGTGAGTAATTTATTTCTCTTTCAATGACTACCTTAACCTCCAACTAGTATCTTTTAATTTTAATATTCTGGAATTTGATGCATAGAGGACAGTGAGCAGTCTTGATAAAGAAGGTCTTTATGAATACCCCGAATGAGGACCAGCCAGCTCCAGGGATCCTTGCCTCAGTTGGAGCGTCACTTCCGTGGGGTCTGGGCATCCTCTATTCAGAAAGGGGCAGACCCAGCCATCTCTCTCCTTGGCTCCCACGTGCCGAGGAAGTTCTACGTCAAGTGTGACAAAGTCGTCTCCTGATAAACAATTCTCGAAAAGCATGCTCCCCAAGGACAGGCCCAGCCTCACGAAACCTGCAGAGCTGCGTCAGGAGGTTCGGCGGCTCCACTTCTTTCCATCCCACTCACTAACTCAACAGCTGCCTTGGCATGTTTCCTACCATGTGATCTGGGGTTTTGTGAGGTCGACTCCTAGATCCAGGGTCAAGCAACTCGGTGTAGATAGGGGCCTTTTTCCTTTGCAGCTCTAGGGAGAGAGGGTCCCTGGGGTGAGCTGAGGAGGTACAAGTCAACATAGCACTGTAGCCACGAACACACAGAAGGCTCAGGAGAAACACCAGTGAAAGAAAGTCAAAACCACTGTCAGAAAGCCACGCCGCTGTTTAACGACTACATGTCCTGACCACAGGGTTCTGGGTGGCTGACAGCTGCAGAAATCTTCGCCACCCCCTGTTTGCCCTATAACTGCTGCTCTCTGAGACCATCTGTGAAGCCACAATAGTTGCCTTCTCCATCCTCAGTTTTTTCCTTCTCGTTTTGCCCCCTTAAACATGGTGGGCTTATCCTGGGATAACAGGCTCAATCCTTACCGAGAACCTATTCTGCTCCCAACCTGTCCCCACCTCTGTTCTGGAACTTTCCAGAGGGCTGACGTGCTCCGAGTTTTGCAGACAATTTTCCCAGACCCTAGATTTGTAGCAGGGACTCGAGGGAGTAACTAGCAGAAATCCAGGAAGCAGAGTAAGCACTGTCTGGATGACTCAGGGTTACATGGAGGAGAAAGGCAAATGACCAAAGCTGCCTGTGCCCGGGTCACTGACTGGGTCATATTGTTAAGTCAAATGACCTCTCTGCAGACAAGGGGGTACAGGAAATGCACGGGTGATGGAAGGGGAAATAGAGATGGTGATATATGGTTCCCTGTCTCGGAGCAGCTGCTGGCCTGCTGTGCTCAGTGGTTTTGGGGTGAAAAAAGATGTCCCTGCATACCTCACTGAGGTGGTAGGGGTGGTCAGGTGGTCCAGCATTTACAAACTGGGCCTGCGAGGGAGAATCCAGGTTAGGGTACTGATCCCTCCTTGTTCTGTGGCCCTGGGCACATCATTCTAACTTTCTGCCTCCGTTGCCTCCTCAACAGGGAAATCGCATGGTGTGAAAAGTCCATGCTTGTTAAATGTGCGGGGAGCATTAGCAGAAAGGCTTCTTGCACCATGACTCAGCATTATTATGCTGCTTTCACTGCTTTTTAATGACATGAGGTGACTATGTATTTCCTCTCTTAATTACTGTCTGAAGTAGGTTGGTGTGTGTCATCCCATTTTGCAGAGGAGAAACTGATGAAAGCTACCTGGCTAGTCACTGCGGAGGCTTGGCTGGGATGCTAAGATCCACTGCCTTGGTCACCAGGCTGCAGCCTGCAGGTTGCCCATCCAAAGTGTGAACTCCAGCAGGGGCAGGAGAGCCCCCGAAGAATGGTGAGTACACCTCCTTAGTTCAGGAATGATCAGGGGAACTGGACACTCTGGGCAACTGTGATGAGAGGGGTAAAAAGGTCTCCCCCACCAGTGAGGGGTCCTGGTTGACCTTGCTGAGTGTTGATTCTGAGACCCAGAGGGAAAAGCAGCGAACAAGCTGTGTGCACCTGCTCTCTCTTCATTCTCTATCTGTATGAAGCAGGGACAGCACTTATCCCTCTCCTTGCAGCTTTGCTTTTTAAAAATCTATCTATACATAGGGGTACAAAAATACAGTTAGATAGAAGGAATATGTTCTAGTATTTGATCGTACAGTAGGGAAACTATCGTTAACAATAATTTGTTGCATATGTCAAAGTAGCCACAAGTGAAGATTTGTAATGTTCCCAACACAAAGAAAAGATAAATGTTCGAGGCGATGGATAGCCCAGTTACCCTGATTTGATCACCGCACATTATGTACAGATATCAGAGTATATATACATGAAAAATATGTACAACTATTATGTATCAATAAGAATCAAAGTCCATATAAATAAGGTTGAAATATTAGAGCCAACACCAAGTAGCCAACCACGGTGAAATGAGGTGGAAGAATCTGTTGTGGTTGTGATTGTTGTTTTTCAGCAGGGTATTGTCAGGAGGGTCCCTGTCATTGACTTTTATACATCGTCTGGATTGTGATGCTGACTGAGTGGCACATGGCTCCCCCATCCTGCCACGCTCTCGGGACATTTAACACTGGCTTGGGCACTTATGGGTCTGAAGGAGTCTCAGGGAAAGTGCTGGCCTGGTCATGATGGTATGGGATGTTCTGCCAAGCCAGCTATAGGTGAAGATGTTTATACAGAGAAGAGACAGAGAGAGTGTGTGTGAAGGGCGAGGTGCCTGTGGGTTAGTAATCATGTGTGAGCACAGAGCAGATAATGGAGAAGGTGAAGGAAAAATCCAGAGACACAGGGAGGAGAGAAGAAATTCAAAACTCTCAGATGTGTATAGCGGTGTTCTAAGGTTTGGAAAGGAATGAATGGGTGACTGATGGACACACAACAGGACAAGTCTCAGAGGCGAAGAGATTCCTCCCTGGTCCTCTCTAGTTACCTGCTCACACCCTCGGGGCCTTGACCATTGGATTTTTGGAAGTGAACAGCCAGGAGGCTACAGAGGGATCTGGCCCAGTGGCACAAGGAATTAGGGAGGTGGGTAATAGGGTCCGTGAACAAGGAAAAGGGACCATCATTTTTGGGCATTCGGATTGCAAGTCTCAACATTTGGAAACTGATGCGTGCAAAATCCCTGCAGGTTAAACAGATTTTGCTCTTTGGGGGCAGGTTATAGTTAGAGAAAGTCATTATCTATTTACATTTATGTTTCCAAAAGAGGAGTGGCAATAAAACAGCTCTGGGAGATGAAATTAGGGATGCCAGACACGGAAGGGAGCTCACAGCCTCGGGCCTGGGCGCCAGCTCCCTAGCGATGTGGTCTCTCAAAGAGATGTGATTTATGAGCCAGAGTTGTTTTTTGTTTTGTTTTGTTTTGTTTGAGATGGAGTCTCACTCTGTCGCCAGGCTGGAGTGCAGTGGCACAATCTTGGTTCACTGCAACTTCCAACTCCTGAGTTCAAGGGATTCTCCTGCCTCAGCCTCCCAAGTAGCTGAGACTACAGGCACGTGCCACCATGTCCAGCTAATTTTTTTGTATTTTTAGTAGAGACGGGGTTTCATCATGTTGGCCAGGATGGTCTCCATCTCCTGACCTCGTGATCTGCCCGCCTCGCCCTTCCAAAGTGCTGGAATTATGAGCCAGAGTTTAATGCTGCTAATGAACCCTGCATCAAGACATGTCCCACCCCAGCCAAAGGAATCTCTTAGCCACCCGAATCAATGAACAACTAGGTCACTGTCTGGATAAGTGTCCAGAGAAGATGAAATGCTCATAATCCGTATTTTTCAGAAACTGTCATCAAAAGCACTGACACAAGTCACGTGTTGTAGTTTATTAGAATTGACTTGGTCTGTGCTTTTTGTTTTGCTTTTAAATAAAAGGAGTTGCAGTGATTTCTGTTAGGGAATCAGAAGGAACATCAGAGAGCAGTATTGCAGTTATCAAAGGGCAGTGGCCAGGGCTTAGGAACCCAGTGGGATTTCAAAACATTATCCAGGAATGCAAGCCCTGCCCAACTGTGGCCCAAACCACAATCTGGGAGCCTTTCAAATGCTGGAATCATTCAGAATCAGTCATTTAGGGCCCGACAGATGAGCTACGGCATAATGTTACATAGTGGCTACATCAGGAGATAGGAAACATCGAGGGAAAATAAAAGAATCAATCTCTCTTTTCTGAAAGAAAAAGTCCTGTGGTTCTCCCACATCTCAAACCTCGACATGCTGTCATCAAATGACAGGTGTTCCAAAATGAAACTCTAGCAGCACACGAAAGGCTCTTCAAGGTGGCAAAGCTTCCAAAGTGAAATTTTAGAAGGTATTCTTTTTGAAAATTGAAAAAAAAAAAAAAAAAGAGAGAAGAAACAGAAAAGGAGAGGTCTCACGCACAATGCTTCACTTAAGTAAATGCAGAAAACGGGTGGGGTGTGGTGGCTCACGCCTGTAATCCCAGCACTTCGGGAGGCCGAGGCGGCCGGATCACCTGAGTGAGGCCAGGAGTTCGAGACCAGCCTGGCCAACATGGTGAAAGCCCGTCTCTACTAAAAATACAAAAATTAGCCAGGTGTGGTAGTGTGTGCCTGTAATCCCAGCTACTCAGGAGGCCGAGGCAAGAGAATCGCTTGAGGCACAGGTTGCCATGAGCTGAGATCATGCCACTGTATTCTAGCTTGGGTAACAGAGCGAGATCTGTCTCAAAAAAAAAAAAAAAATTAATTAATTAATTAAAAAAATAAATAAATGCAGAAAATGATTTCATGAAGACAGAAGGTACTTCACACAGCTGCGAGTCCAGGCTGGCATGTGGGAGCTGGTAGAGGGAGGGTATATTCAGTTGTCCTGTGTCCCCTCGCACTCCGAGAGGGGCTCGCTCCTGGGGAAGACGCCAGGGGTCTTACCAGTAGGCCAGGGAAGGGTGCTCCTTCAGGGCTTGGGTGGGAAGGGCTGGCAGCTTCTTCAAGTCACTCCTCACAACTTCATTGCTGAAAGAGACAATGGCCAGAAATGCACTCACCCTCTGAGGACGTAACTGCACTCTCTGATACCACTTGGGCCACTGCTTTGTCTGAGAGACCCCACATCTGCTTCCCTGCTAATCAAAAGCAGTGGGAGGAAGGAGCGCTCTCTTTTAATTTCCTTAATACAGATGTAAACGAAGGCAGACACGCCAAGCCCAGTAACCACCTTTCACCGTGCAGAAAGCAGGACAAAACACCTCCAGATGGCCAGGGGTGTCTTCCCAAACCCTGCTCTCACAGACCGGCACAGACTGAACGCCCCTGAGCAGCCCTCAGCAGGAATTCGGGGAGAAGAAGGGTCCCCAGGGGTCCCCCAGGGCAGGATCTTAGGAGAAGCGCCCCAGAACCCCGCCGTTAGGCTCACATTGCTCCGAGAATGGGCAATGGCGCGCTGCCTCCGTAAGAGCGTTTGCTCTGCTAATACACAAAGCTGGTTTTCACGGTTTACGTTGACCACATGCTGGAAACTGTTTTCTGAAATATGACAAATAAATACTGATGGAGTCTCCTTTATCTGAAATGCTCGAGAGCAAAAGCGTTTCCGATTCCAGATTTTTTTTTCAGATGTTTGACTAGTTGCATTTATATACTTACTGGTTGAGCCTCACAAAACCTGAGCATCTGAAATCCGAAGTGCTCCAATGAGCATTTCCTTTGAGCGTCATGTCGGCACTCAAAAAGTTTCAGAGTTGGAGTTAGGATTTTCAGATTAGGGAGACTCAACCTGTAACTTTTGCTTTTGAGGAGGCTCAGAAACTACTTAGAAAGTGTGAACTGCATTGTCTGGGCCAGGCTGAGCATCCCGTATCCCAAAATTCCAAATCAGAAATGTGCCAAAATCTGAAACATTTTGAGTGCCAACATGACGCTCGAAGGAAATGCTTACTGGAGCACTTTGGATGTTGGATTTTCAGATTTGAGGATGCTCAACCAGTTGGCATATAACACAAATATTTCCAAACCTGAAAGAAATCTGAAACACTTCTGCTCCCAAGCATTTGGGATGAGGGAGATTCAACCTGTACCATCAGGTGGTTTTATGCATCTGGTCATGAAATCAGAAATTCTTTTCCCGGTAGACTCACACATGCTTAGGTTTGGAAGATGCTTTAAACTCCCCTAGCTTAGCCAGCCTTCTTCAGGTGCCTGACTCCTCCCTAGACACTCAGCAGGTCTGCATCCCCTCTGGGCTGGACCATCTGTGGCATCTGCACCCACCTACTACCTCCAGAGTAACAAGCGGCAGTCACTTTGGGACAGTTTTGATACTGAAAGAGCGTTTCCCTATCCTGGTCCACCAAAGAGCCTTGGAAGCCTTAGCCGGGGTTGCAACGGCACATGTAGGAGAGTTCTGCCTTTGATTTGCCGTCCTGACTTGGGCTACGTGAGCAGCTTCGAGGTTGCTTATACTAACCAAGGCAAATACTGGCCACCAGGACACTGGGCAGTGCCATCTAAAAAGAAATGAAACAGGTACAACTGTTGCATTTTTAGCAATGTTTTTCATTTTTAGCAATGTTTTTCATTGCTAAAAAGGAATGAAACAAGGTATAACTCTGAAGGAAGGAAGGAATACCGCAGCCATAGAGGGGAATTCCTCAGGTGTTTGGATGGTGGACACTCCAGCACCCATGCTGTTAACTGGAGGATACATTGTTCCCTGTGTCCCTGGCAAGAAATACAGCCAAGGGCAGTGCAATGAGCAGCATCACCAACGGATGCCCAGTACCACTGGGCAAAACCATACCAATACACCACTACATTACGTCTGTGCGTGGTGATAAAGAAACACATGGAGGTTTGGTGACATTAGAGCGCTCCCAGAAAAAGCATTTTTCTGTTGCCCTAAGAAAGAACAAGGCCAGGCGTGGTGGCTCATGCCTATAATCTCAGCATCTGGGGAGGCCGAAGTGGGAGGCTCACTTCAGTCCAGGAGTTGAAGATCAGCTTGGGCAACATAGTGGGACTCTGTCTCTAGAAAATTAAAAAAATTAGCCATGCACAGTGATGCATGCCTGTAGTCCTAGTTACCCAGGATGAGGCTGCAGTAAGCTGTGATTGCAACACTGCACTCCAGCCTGGGTGACAGAGGGAGACCCTCTCAAGAAAGAAAAGAAAAAAAGAAGAGAAAGGAGAAAGAGAGAGAGAGAAAGAAAGAGAGAAAGAAAGAGAGAAAGAGAAAGAAAGAGAGAGAGAAAGAGAGAAGGACAGAAGAAGAGAGAGAAAGAGAAGGAAAGGAAAGGAAAGCAAAGGAAAGCAAAAGAAAGGAAGGGAAAGGAAGGGAAAGGAAAGAAGGAAGAAGGAAGAAAGAAGGAAAGAAGGAAGGAAAGAAAGAAAGAGAAAGAAAGAAAGAGAGAGAGAAAGAGAGAAAGAGAGGAAGAAAGACAATGACCATGACCAGTGGTGTTGGTGAATCCTGGCTTCATATGACCAACTAGAGGGAAAAGCTCAAAGTGGAACTGTTTGAATCAATCCATCCAAGTACTTGAACTGTTAGAATCTAAATGGTAAGGCCAGGACAGATCAATTGATAATCAATAAGCTGAAGGTGTTTATGAAGCCCCTGCTATTACATGGAAAGAATTGTAGAGGATATAAAAAATGATGAGATATGGTCCTTAACCAGAAGGTGCCCACGATTTAGTTGGGAAGGCGAGAGGAACACCTACAAAGCTCACTGACCACAGGGGTGATGTGTGATCATGTCAATCCAAACAACAGACATGAAAGCTCAGAGGAAATAACAGCCCCCTTGGGCTCTGATGTAAGACTGGCTTTGGGGGAGGCCGTGCATGAATAAAAGGATAGGAATATCACTTTTATCCCGAGTGGAACACAGACAGACATGGGGGCCACATAAACTGAAGAAATCCATCAGAGTAAGCGGAATGTCAGGGGCAATACGCTGAAAAGGGCAGGTCAGGAAGAGAATTGTGAAACTTTAATGCCAGGCTAAGAGGGTTCAGCCTCTCCTGGGTTTGATCCAGAAGGCAGACAGCAGGACAGCCCCTGGTGGTTTTCAAACAGGCAAACTCCTAGTGTTCAGGAAAATTCAATTCCAACCCCAAGTACAGTCGGTAATTTTTACGCACATGCTATAAAGGCATAGTTTCAGCAAATATTCAATTCACCAAACATGTGAGCGCCCACATTGATGAATTTCCAGATCTTCTCTCCCGGCTTCATGGTACGTTCCCTGAGAAAAGGGATTTGATTTATTGGTCCATCAGCACACAGAGGGCTGGCTTCAATGTGAAAGGCACTTTTCTCAGATCAACTTTATTGGATGAAACCATGAGAAAGGCAATTAGTGACTCCCTGAAGGAGTTGAAACTTGAGTTTGGGTTTACTCACACCCATCACATCGAAAGTGTATTTGGGGAAGGAAGGAGCTCCAGGAGGAAGGGATCGTTTTACCCACCAAACCCTTGCTTGTTGGCAAACACGTTGCCCTGATGACAGCCACAGGTTTGATTTCCTCGCTGAAGCCTGCAGTGGGTTCTCTAGCTCTGCTCCAGGGCAAGGTTACACACAAAAAAATCTAACAAGAAATCACCAAGGCATGAAGCCCGTCTAAATCCATTATATTCTGGAAGGGATCCATGGCCCTTCATCCTTCCCTGAGGACAAATCTGTAGAAATGTTCTGTTTGCTTTTCTGCTGTTTATAAACATCTGCAATAACTTAGGGGTGTCTAGCCCTGTCAATCCAGCCAAACTCTGTGGCTGAAAATCAGAAAGCTCTCCTAACAGGAAACTTGGTCACTCTACCCCCAGAGACTTGCAAGGCTGTGGCCTGACGAATGTTCTAGAAGTTCATACTTCCTCCCTCAATGTCTTCCACTTTGACGTTTTCCCCAGAGTTCATGGCATGTGATAAATGCCAACTTATAAAACAACTTAAGACAGTTCATTGTGGCTGCATTCCATTTTTAGAAAAATACAAAAAAGAGCTGGATGTGGTGACTCATGCTTGTAATTCCAGCACTTTGGGAGGCCAAGGTGGGAGGACTGCTTGAGTCCAGGAGTTTGAGACCAGCCCGGGCAACATAGCGAGACTCCATCTCTACAAAAATAAAAATATAAAAAAATAGCCAGGTGTAGTGGTTTGCACTTGTAGTCCCAGCTGTTTGGGAGGCTGAAGTGGGAGGATTGCTTGAGCCCAGGAGTTTGAGACCAGCCTGGGCAACATAGCGAGACTCCATCTCTACAAAAATAAAAATATAAAAAATAGCCAGGTGTAGTGGTTTGCACTTGTAGTCTCAGCTGTTTGGGAGGCTGAAGTGGGAGGACTGCTTGAGCCCAGGAGTTTGACATTACAGTGAGTATGATCATGCCACTGTTCTCCAGCCTGGGCAACAGAGGAAGACCCTGTCTCAAAAACAAAAAGAATAGAAAAGAAAAAGAAAAATGCAAAAAGGTCTCTTGAAGAGCCAGTTGCTAAACTGAGAATAACATTTAAGTCTTCCTATCTTTAATATTAAGCAGCTTTTATTAAAAACTCTCCGGCAGGTATGAATGTTGTCAGGATAAATGTGGTGTTAGTGCTGTACTGGCCTTCGATTTAGTGGTTTTTTTGTTTGTTTGTTTTGTTTTTTCAGATGATGTGCTTGTCTTCTACAGCCTATACTCCTCATAAAACAAGGAAAGTTAGAATGATCTACTGGGGAAAAACAAAGATTTCTAGCAATATATCAAATAGAGAATTTGCCGCAGTGAACCACAACAAATTTAACCAAGATACCACAAAGTGAAGGGAGCAAAAATTAAAACTGAGAGAGAAGGATGAGCAAAATCCACAATGTGTTTGCTTTTCTTTAAAAAAACCTGGAAATAACTTTTTCAAGAAACTCTCCTTGGGTCAAATGAGATGTATGTAATTTGTGGGAGAAACTTTGGGCGAATAGAGTAGGCTTAGTATGGAAGAATTCTTCCTAAAACCAGTTGTTTCTGTCTGCACTGGTA